AAAGCAGTCTGCAAGAGATGACAGTCTGGATACAGACAGACATGACAGATCTGATTAAAATCACCTATTCATTATCAATGATTGATAACGCAAAAAACAACAACAACAACAAAAAGTGAGTAAAATCAGATGAATGCGAGACAATGAAATAACATCACCATGATCCATTCTCTGGGGTTTGCCCACTGTGCTGCCTCTGAATCCTTCAGCCTCCAGACAGCTGGTTCTCATGAGTGCCAGGCCTTAAAACCACCCTTTGGCAGGGCAGAGAGGTGAAGGAATGCTCTGCTAATCAAAGCTTGATGAGCAGAGGAGGAAATGGTGATGGAGGAGTGGGCATGTCAGAAAGAGTCGAGTTTGATAGGTGGCCAAACTCTGAAGTTGAAATGGACTGTGGATAGAGCGGCATAGAAACATATCAGTAAAACTGAATTTGTTGTGAAAAGTCATCTTCTGGAAGCCGGAAGGCTGCCTGTGAGCGGACAGTTCGTGTGGAGATTCAGAACTTTATAGAGACAAAGCAAATGTCAAATGTGCCAAAATGGGAAATTATTGTGTTTGTAGAGAAACTCTTTGTTCTATAATTAAAGAAAGGGGCAGAAAAAAAATCAATGTCAAAGCATGGCACTTTGTCTGATCTGATATTTGTTCCCCCTCCCAAGGCCCTGATGTTTCAATCTGCAGAAATAATCAGAAACCTGCTGAACTTCATGCATTCATGGAACAGGCCAAGACCTTTCCCACAGAGTACTATGAAGAAGCTCGCCCAACAAAAGCTTTTGCTTTCAGCTTTTTTTTTTTCTCTCTCCAGAGCTGAAATACTCAGAGTGACCCATGCTGGTCCTGGAGCATTTGACCTTGCAGAGGGACACCTTTAATCCCAGCATAGACCCAAGATTGCCTTCAAAGTGAATTGTATTCTGTTCTTGTTGTTTTGTTTGTTTTAATTTATTTAAAATATGCTTTCTACCTTGCCCAATGGTTTTATGCTCTGGAGGAGGAATCCATGGAGTTTGAGTTCCCTGTGCTGGGGCAGGGTGGAGAAGTGATTTATTCGTCAGAGCAAGCAGACATTTGTCATCTGGAGGGGTGCCAGCACAGGCTTCAGTGTATTTACAGCACCACAAGGATTGAATTTTGCTTTTGACATTGGCCCGTTGGCTTTTGTCCTTTGGGTGGCCTTGCTTGCATAGTAGCAGGAAAACCTGCAGTGAGGCCAGGGTGGGTCTGCCATGGGGCAACTCAGCCTGCTACAAGGGAAGAGGACTAAGCACATATCCAGAGCTCAGTGTCCGGTGCTAGAGGGAAATTAAAGAGTATTTGTTTAAGTTTGGGACCTGCTTTCCTTCTCCGAGCATCTCTAGAGTATAAATGAGATGGATTTCCATCTCAGGCTGAAGCCAACCAATGACTGTGTTACATCTCGTAACATGTTAGTGCTATGAGACTTAACACGAGATTCTGCCCTCTTTCCTCCTGCCTTTCCTTCCCCTAGCATCCTAGGCTGAGTTTCTCATTGCCACATAAATACAGAACACACAACTCAAAATTGTGACTCAGAACATACGTACATCTCAAAGCACAGTTGATACCACAAATAACTCAGAGTGTTTTCGGGGCTATGTGGGTGTTGTCACAGCCCTTTAATATGGATGGATGTACAGCACAATATCTCACCTCCTTTTTTATTATATGCTATGTTTGTATTTTATTAATTATTTCAATCAGCATATTTGTTTTATAGACAGAGACGTGAATCAGACTCATTTTATGAGTCCCACTGAGCCAGCCGTGGAACTGGCAGAGTACAGATGGAGCCCTGTTGAGGTAAGTTCTGTTCCACACAGATGCAAGGGGTCAGTCATGAGCTGCAGCTTCAGGTCTGAGGTTGTAACAAAATCCCAGCTTCCTGGGAACTCAAACATAAGGGCGGATACTGAGTCTGAAATTCACATCAGGTAGAAAAAAATAACAATGGAGAAATGTTTTCGCCATCAGAAAGTGCTTTCAAATAATTAACATGTCTCTTACTCGGGCAAAAATCAGGCTGGGCTTCAGCCTGAATAAAACACGACAGGATCCAAACTGAGAACTGAGCAGACAGTGGTACGTCTGTTGCAACACATCAGTGCAAGTCTTATATATCCTCTAAGCTTAACAAGTGCCACGACTTAAAAAGATAAATTGCATCTCTTTAAATTAAGCAAATGATCCTAACTGGCTCATCAAACCCAAATATTTGTCTGACAATAAAGACAATCATTTTGCACAAATTCAGCTGTTGGAAATACAATATTTACAGGATGGAGTACTGTTTTTCTGGGCTCTCACAGCACAGAGCTAAGAAAGTAGCACAAGTTTTGGTCAGTATTCCCTTGCCCTCATGTGATTCTTCTTTTAGACGTGGGAGCATGGGGGTCCTCAAACAAGAATGAATAGGGATTTAAAAGTCAGATTCCATGTAGATGACTCATATATCCCTATTCAGGCATCTCAGAACTTTACAGGCCAAGATCTCTCCAGGACATACAGAACAAAAATTCCACATGAAGCCATGTCTTCCCGAAAGATTTCTGAATCTTGTTTATAAGCCTCCAAGTGACAGAATACCTTTTCTTACCTGTTGATTAGCTTTGCTCAAAAGCACACATGAATTTTCTAATTTGAAGTTGTGCGGTACCCCAACTTGTTCCAGCATCTCCTCACCTTCCTCTGCTAAGTAAAGCAGCCTCCTTCCATCACACGTCCCTCCCCCATGCAGACACTCACAGGCCATGATCTCGTCGCTCCTTAACGGCTTTTGTAGATCTAGATGGAGCCTCTCTCAACTCTCACCATAAAGCCTGTTTCCGGAGCTAATGCAATTCTTGTTACTGTTATTCCAGGAAGGGTTTTGCTAATGCAGTACGTAAAAATAATACTACCTATCTTCCTGTGCTTGATATTTCTCTGCTTGCATGCACCAGGATTGCATTTGTTGCTTTATTTACAGCACCACGCCGTTTATATTCAGTGGGCTGTGTACAATCATTCCTCAGTTCTTGACAACATCACTGTTTGGCACAAGACGTTTGTTTACCTATTGTTTATATTCGATGTACATTCCTCCTTACTGGCCACATGACTTTGCATTTGACCTCGCTGTTTGAGCAAGACCTTCCTATCAAACAACCCAAGTCAGGCAGCACAACTGGCTCCTGATCTTCATTAATTCCAATTATATCCTGTTTGTGATCACTGCCACTTTTTACCTGAAGAGGTTATATATTTTATTATGAGAGACTGATAAAGATATGAAAAATACTGTGCCAAAATTAAAAAATAAAAAAAATCATTGGGAATCTGAAAATATCTACTGTGTGCTGTTATTTCACTGATAGTTATTTTCTAAAATAAGTGTTTTACTAGTATTTAGTCCAGTGAATATGGGTCACATTGATATTTTTAGTATTACTTTTCCTAATCACAGTGTCATCTAAGACAAAATAATGTGTATTTCAAAATCTCTTTTAACAATAGTTACTTCTATTGAACCGAATCTCTATAATTTCATTTAATTATGTCTTGATTTTAAAATAGTTCCTCTTCTTCCTTTTTGTTTGCAATTGTTTTTAGATTAGGGAATATATTTTTTTGAAGTTTTCATTGTATTATTGTCCAGTAACACAGTCTGCTTGCACTTACAAAATGAAATTACAGCGTGATCTTTTCCATCTAGAAAGCTATTATTTTCTAGGCTGCTGACCATCTCATTACGATCTGTAAAAACAAAGCCTGACGCAGAAATACCCCAAGCTGATTTCAATTATTTTTCTTCTTAGAAATCTATGTACAGCTTATAGAAACCCTGGGGATGATTCCCCAGCACTATCAAGTGATCGTCGGCATCTGCTCCCTCATCAGACATCAAGGATGTCTCCTTTCTCTGTACTACAGAAAGGTATGTTAAAGGAGATGATCTTTCTGCTCCCATTTCATTTGGAGGTTGGTAGTGGACACTTCACAGTAACAGGACCCCCTTCTCCAGGTAAGTTGCTGCTTGTAGATGGATCTCAAGGCATTTCAAGCTTTATCTGAGTGGTCAGTATTTGTCATGTCAGACTGCCTTTCACAGAGACTGCCCTTCCTCCTTCTCTCCCTCTTTCCCTCCCTCCCTCCTGTCTTGCCTGAACAGGCTGTAGCAGTGGTTTTAGCATCTCCATCATTTGGATCTCGTGGATGCTCAGTTATATCAATCATCTCACATGAAGGTTTCCAATTACCTTGACTCATTATCAGCAGAAAAGCTGGATAGTCTAATATTTCAAGTAACTGCCTGTGATGTTCTTCACTTCCAGCAAACCTGGCTTTAGCTGCTTGGCCCAGTCCCTCCCTCCTCAGCCAGGGAGGAAATAAAAGTGCTGCAGAGACCGCAGACTTGCAGACCCTATGGATGAGCGGCAGCTTATAAACACAGACAAGAGTCCTTGCCAGAACCGAACCCGGGGGTTTTGTGGGGGCAGAGCACTTCAAGGGGAATGAAAGCAGAGAACTCTCGCAGCTTACATGAAACGCAAATACAACCCAAGCCTGGATTTCATCCTTTCTCCCACGATACAGAAATCAGTCTCCTCGCCTCATCTCCCCATCGTGGGGCCGTTTTCCGCGGTGGCCGCCGGGTTGATTGCCAGCACCGCGCCACCACCTCATCCTCCTCGGACAGCGCTCTGCCGGTCCGGCCCCGAGCCCCCCGCCCCGATGTGCCGCCGCTGTTCCAGAACCACCCGCCGCGGACAGCGCGCGGCCGCTGCGCCCCCGGAGCCGCCCCGGCCCTGCGGTGCCGCCGCCCCCGCCCGCGGCGCCTTCAGCACCACCGAGCGCGGACAGCACCCGGCCAGGGGGCGCCGGAGGCGGCCCGGTGAGACGTGCTGCCCCCGATGCCTCCGTCGGAGCTCCTCTGGACCCCCGGGGAAATCCCCAGCCCCTCCCCGACCCCCTACCGCTGTCCCGGCGGGACTCACCGAACATCTGGATGTGGCCCTTGGTGATGGGATTGAAGGTGCCGCAGGACAGCAGGATAACGTGGGTCTTGGTGGTCTCCGTCATGGTCCCGGCCCGGCCCAGCCCCAGCCGCTTTTTGTGTCTCGGTGCGGCTGCGGCGGCGGGAGGGAAGGAGGGAGGGAGCGGGGCCGGGGCGGGAGAGAAGGCGGGGCCGTGGCTGCGGGAGCGGGGATGGAGCCGAGACCTCCCCCCGCCCCCGCCCGGGGCTGGCGCGGGCAGCCCGGGGTACCCAGAGCCCGCCGCCGGCACGGGGACACGCGAGGGTGCAAGCTGGCTTGCCCACGCACAGGTAACACGGGGATACAAGTGGACATGCGTTGCATCAGCTGCCCAAGGAACGGGGGCAGTGGGCAGGCACCCCCTGCATTCATCCGCACAAACTCGGTGTTTGGGTGCAGCCACGCGGAGTGCCTCCGTGGTCCTGCTCAAAGGCCCTGGAGATCCCCGCCCTTCTCTAGGGCTCCAAGGAGAAAACACCCTAGCGGGCACCAAACCAGCGGGCTCCCTTTCACCAGCTGAAGGAAGTGAAATTTCCATAGATGGGCCAAAAAACAGTCTTTACTGCAAGGTAAACTAACACGAGACCGACTGTTTTCATTTCTCATTTGTGTTCCTCAAGTTGTGGGCAGTTGCCTTCAGGCTGCCTTTAGTTGCTGCTTCTCCCCATTTCCCAAACAAAGCCTTTTCTCCCAGCAGGGAGTTGTTGGAGTTATTTGCTTCCACCCAGTTTTCCTTTCCCTTCCTCTATCTGTTAAATCCATTGCCCTCCTCTATCACACCCCTGAGCAGCATACAAGGCAGCACCCCTGGGGAAGAAACCCAAGAAGTCCCTGAGTTGCTCAGAGAAACTTTAAATCCTTCAGGTACAAATCTGGATTAGGTCAGCCGTTAGGTTAAGTGTGCACAGTGGCCCCTAACTCACATGAAAGGCTAAAAGTGCCCTGAAAATAATGGCATCACATTTGCAAGAAAGGCCAGGGAAGCAGAGCCACCTTCTTCCATTGGTTGTGTGGGGAGGACAGTGATAAAAAAATAAAAAATAATAAAAAAATTAAATGAAGAAATAACATCATCAGGAAAGACGTGGTGCACTTTCAGGTTGTCTCAGCAGTGGTGCTGTGCCTTCTCCCTAGCTCTGTAAGGACATCTGGTATTTCAGAGAACGGGGTGAGATTTGGAGGTTTGTGCTGGGCTCTTCTTTGTGCTGCACATCCTTGCTTGCCTCGAAAGGCAGTGTCACTGCTTCAGAGGAGTGGCTCTCTGCAGTTCAGTGCTGCACAGCTCTGCCTTTAAAACTACAGCCTTTAATTAGCATTTATCAGCCTCAGGGTGACAGCAGAAAAAGAGGGCATTCCTCAAGCCTCTCTTGGTCATACTTGTGTGCTCATGTGTGTGTGCTCATGTGCATCTGTCTTCATAAATCTTGTTCTCTTTTTTTTGGTTGAAGTTAGCCAACAGCTTCAAAAGTTATCTGTGAGACTGACGGATGGACACCCCTTCCTCAGAAACCAGGCTGAGGAATGGCATCGTGAGCTCTCTTTGCTGTGAGCTCTTTCGCACTGAAGCACTGATGAAACATCAGCGCCTTATTTGTTTGTTTGTTTGTTTGTGTGGGTCTTTTTTCCCCCAAAGATGATTTAGTGCTACATTGATTTTTTCCCCTTACTATTTAAAAAGTGAAGTGCCTGGATGTGGCAACCTCACACGCTCAGTCCCCTCTGGGTGGGAACGTGACTGCTGAATGAGGCACTGGAGGGGCACTGGGTGACCTGAATTCACAAGCTTTTGGCGCTGAACTAGGAGGTGGCTCTGCACAAGCTGCTTTCCACATTGCTCTCATTCTGTTGTGCATCCTCTCATAGGAAATAAGCTGAAGCACAGGCAAAACACTTGTAAAGCAATTTTTGGTTAATCTTAACTCTACTGCCACTATGTTTATGTAGGAAATGCTTGTTCAGAGATCTTTTCCCTCTAGCCTTCCATAGGAGGCACAACCTGCACCTGCAGGTGCTGCTGTTAGCTATAGAAATGGGGAAAGTGAAAAAATGTGCTTCTCTGAGGAGCGCAGGGTGGATGAGTGCTGGGTGGATGAGTGCCGGGTGGATGACAGATGCTGTACATCGGCTGTCACTTAGCAACGCTGCCGGTGCGGGAAGTGGGTGCTGTGATGCTGGCAAGCCATTGTGGTGGTCAGAGAGCCAGTGGCACAGCCTACCTGTACCCAGGGTGTACAGGAGGAGGCTCTTTCTTCCAATACAGAATATGTTGGCTTGGCAGGAGGTGGGGTGGGGGATGTTCTTTCATATTTTTTCCCACTGTCTTACATCTGAGCACTTTCTAGGGCATCAAACTGACTTTTGAAGATACCTCCTCAGGAAGGTCAGCCTGGGAACAGATTTCTCTCTTGCATCTATTCAGAAGCTGAGCACTGGCCACAGATGCAAACAGCTCCACTGGCATTTAGCATCTGTAATTCTGTCTGAGGTTACAGCTCAGCCATGCAGAATCAGTCTGTGTGGTTATGGTCTGATCTGGGCTGTGGTGGGGGTGGAGATGGAGACACTTGGTGTGACTCCCCACGAATGGCTTTTTTTTCCTTCCTTTCCAAGCCGGATTTAGCTTTTATTTGCTGTGAAAGGGCATATCTTTCCAGAATGCACAGCACATGTTCTCAGAGAATTACAAGTAAATCCATTAGATACTTTATGAATTATAAGGATTAAAAGGGATTTATTTAAGAAAAGCAGCATTTTGACTTTTTTTTTTTTCCTGTCCAGAATAGGAACAGGATGCCCAGAGAGGCTGTGGATGTCCCATCTCCGGAAGCATCCAAGGCCAGATGGATGGGATTCAGGGCAGCCTGCTCTAGATGATTTTTAAGGCCCCTTCTAGCCTAAGCCATTGTATGAAATGGAATAATGAAGACTTTACACACCTTTATAGACTTAAAAATTCTGAAGTTTTATGTATAGAGTCTGTTTGGAACATTGATATTGCAATTAGGAAAAGATGAGGCTTTTGTCACTAACCATTAAAACCCATGTCTGGGACAACAGCAAATACATTATAACTAATTGCTGAGAGGGACCAATACTAGGCAAAATAAGACTGCTTAAGTATCTTTACACTTGTTTCTTCCTTCAATTTTTTCAGTTGCTTCAAGTGCTAATTTCCTGCATTCATAATATTTAGATTCTAACAATCATTAAATTGACAGATGATCTGGGGTTTTATCATTCAGCTGTTGTGCACTGTACTCTCTGCTTCCCTTGATCCCTGTTTCCACACAGAGCAGCAGACAAACATGATGTCTCAGACATCCGCAAGTCAAGGTCTGATACTTGAGATGGAGAGTCAACCAGTGGCCACATCATACATGAAAATGGGAGAGTCCACATGCCCAAAGGGAGACTTTGTACTCCACAACGCTTCCAGGGTATTCCTGGACAATTAAAGAGGTCAGAGCTAATGAAGCAGGGTGGGATCAGGCTTTGGTTTGCATCCAACTCTCTGTTCTCAAATTACCTCGAGGAAATTTCTCAGGTTCCTCTGACTGCCTGTTAAATGGGAATGGCTGCTCACTCTTCTCTTAGAGCAGGTTATAGCAGTGCTCTGAGGATAAATGCATCAGAGGTCTTTGAAATGCTGACCCCCAGTGATAAGAGAGGCTGCTGGTGGATTCACATTTGGGATCGTGACCCTTACACTGGGGAGAAGCTTCGCTCCTTGGCATTTTGGCTGCCAAGGTATATTGCTGAGTCCTCGGGCTCTCTAGTCAATGATGCTCATCGGGGGGATCAAATCCTTCCCAATGCCATGTGATTAATAAAGTGCTAGACCATGATTATTGGCTCGTTGACGATAAAAATGTTGATATACGTTGATTTCTGTGAGAAATCTGCTTCTTTAAAGATAAAACTCATATCACAAATCTCTTAGAGTAAAACTAAGGAGAAAGACTTTTGACTCCCTCTTAAACAAAAGGAGATTATGCCCTTTGCTTTGTGCACTCAAATAGTTTGGAGTAGAGATTAATAAGAAAAACCAGGTCCACTTGCTCCTTGACACAATGAGTTGCACAAGACTTAGGGATCAGTTTTGCCCCATACAGCTCCCTCAGGTCTTTTGGGGCAGCTCTTGAATAGATTCAACTTGGACAAGACTAAACAAGACAGCCACTGAGTCAACACTGCCCCCTCCTTGCTTCTCCCCAGTGCACCCTGAGGGAATGCTTTGCAGCCTCCTGGTCCAGACCCATATGCTCTGGTGAAAGAGATGTTGCAGAAAACCAGAAGTTGCCACCCAGCATGTGCTACCTAGCTGAAATATTTCAAATTAAGCTTCTGTCTTTGAATCCACATGCAGAAACATAGTTCAGGGTAAAGCAGCTCTGAAAACTCCTTTTTGCACAGATACACACTGTTCTGCCCAGAAGCATGCACACAGTCACAATCAGGTGTTCCAGTAACACTGAGTAAGGCCCACTACAGTGATAAAGCTGGCTGGAAAAAAAAAGAAAAAAGAAAAAAAAATCAAATTAACCTTGCAGCCACCTTTTATTTTAAATAACAAATACAGATAGCTGCAAAGCATTGCTGCCATGGGGGACACAAAGCGGAGGATGTGTCTTAGTGCCATTTGCATTTTGGTGGCTGGGCTACAGCCATGCCTTACGGTTTCATTCTGCTTGAAAGGCAGCTCCTGGCAAGAGATCATCCCTGGGAAAAGAGGTGGAAAAGATTGTTTGGCCAAGGGTTAACAAGGGAAGGGGGCACAGCCCCTGGTGTGAGTGAAGTGAGTGAGTTAGTGGGAATGGAGATAACTGCCAGGATGATTGCAGGTCAGCTCCTTGGGAGCGGCGAGGCTCAAAGAGAGGCTGCAAACCTAGAACCATAAAATCGCAGGATCAAAACATGCAAGGTTTTGACTTTTGCTGCTGAAGGTGATTTAAGCCGTTCCGATGGCACCTTCCTGGTGCTGTGGTTTGTGGCATACGCTGGCAGGGAGAAGGACGAGTTCAAACATTGGGAGCGAGGGGCAATGTG